TTTTTTTTCTGAGAGAGTCTCACTTTATTGCCCCCAGTAGAGTGCTGTTGCATCACAGCTCACAGCAACCACAAATTCTTGGACCCAAATGAGACCACAGTGCTTGACTATTCTTTTTTTTTAGAGACAGGGTCTCACTCTAATTCAGTCTAGTCTTGAACCTGAGAACTCAGGCAATCTACCCGCCTTGGCCTCCCAGAGTGCTAGGATTATAGGCGTGAGCCACTGTGCCTGGCCTTGTTCAGCTAATTCTTCTATAAAAGTTTTCCTTTTGGGCTCAGCGCCTATAGCTCAACTGGCTAAGGCGCCAGCCACGTACACCTAAGGTGGCAGGTTCGAATCCCCAGCCCGGACCCGCCAAACAACAATGACGGCAGCAACCAAAAAATAGCCGGGCGTTGTGGCGGGCGCCTGTGGTCCCAGCTACTTGGGAGGCGGAGGCAGGAGACTCGCTTGAGCCCAGGAGTTGGAGGTTGCTGTGAGCTGTAATGCCACGGCACTCTACCCAAGGGGACAGCTTGAGGCTCTGTCTCCAAAAAAAAAAAAAGTTTTCCTTTAGGGCAGTACCTGTGGCTCAGTGAGTAGGGCACCAGCCTCATAAACCAAGCGTGGCGGGTTCGAACCCGGCCCTAGCCAAACTGCAACAAAAAAATAGCCAGGCATTGTGGTAGGTGCCTGTAGTCCTAGCTACTCAGGAGACTGAGGCAAGAGAATTGCCTAAGCCCAGGGGTTGGAGGTTGCTCTGAGCTGTGACACCACAGCACTCTACCAAGGGTGACAAAAAAAAAAAAAAAGTTTTCCCCTCATAAACTGTTCAGTTAATATGAGGTAGAGTTCATACCAAAAAAAAGACATGATACAAACTTAATTCCTTTCAATGTTCAGAATGATGAACTGATACTCTAGTGACCTCCAAATAGGACCAATGGAGGTGGTTTTTTGTGGGTGTGTAACTTTAGGAACTTCTGTGTTTAATTTATGAATTTTTACAGTCATTATTCTTTTTGCTGAAATTGTTCCATCTTTGACTAGCGGGGCCCCTTTAAGTTCACTCCTGAGTGTTTTGACACAACAGTGGTTTTGAAAAACCTCTTTACTCTCTGTCATGACAAAATGTCCTAGACAGGCTCATCTTGCATATTTCCTGTACCAGACTTGGCATCAGCCATTTCTCCAAGGGGAAAGGTCTAGTCTTTTATTTATTTTTATTTATTTAGTAAGACAGGGTCTCTCTCTGTTCACTGTGTTGCTCAGGCTGGAGTGCAGTGGCACAGTTGTAGTTCAATGCAGCATCAAACTCCTGGGCTCAAGTAATCCTTCTGCTTCAGGTTTCTATGTAGCTGGGACTACAGGGATGTACCATCATGCTTGACTAACTTTTCATGGTTTAAAAATGTTTGTAGAGTCAGCGCCCATAGCTCCCTGGGTAGGGCACTGGCCACATACACTGAGGCTGGCAGGTTTGAACCCAGGCTGGGCCAGCTAAATCAACAATGACAACTGGAACAAAAAAATAGATGGGCATTGTGGCGGGCACCAGCTACTTGGGAGGCTGAGGCAAGAGAATTGCTTAAGCACAAGTGTTAGAGGTTGCTGTGAGCTGTGATACCACGGCACTCTACCTAGGGCAACAGCTTGAAACTCTGTCTCAAAAATAAATAAATAAATATGTTTGTAGAGCCTGAGAAAGAGTGAGACTCTGTCTCTACAAAAAATGAAAAACTGAGGCAAAAGGATCCCACTTTCTGTAGGATAAAGAACATTCCTTGCAGTGCGGTGTCCTCCCAGCTCTCTTCCATCTCTTATCCTGCTTTTCCATATATGATATGCTATTTATTTATCATTTTCCAAGAAAGCTATTCTCTCTCTATTTGGGATTTTGTGTATGTTTGTTCCTTTGCCTTGAATGCCCTTTCATTCATCCCTCAGACTCAGTGCCACCTTGTCCCTTCTATGACTCCGTCACTCACTTTGGTAGAACTAATGAACTAGTCCCTGTCATCTTAGGAAGCTGGGTAATTTATTGCTACAGACAAAATATATTATTAAGTATTTTTTTCCCTAGGAGGTTGGAAACACACTGATATATATAAGGTTGATCAGAAAGTATCCACCCATGGCTGGGCACCAGCCACATACACTGAGGCTGGTGGGTTTGAACCCAGCCTGGGCCAGTTAAATGAGACAGCTGCAACAAAAAGAATATCCAGGTGTTGTGGTGGGTGCCTGAGGTCCCAGCTACTTAGGAGGCTGAGGCAAGAGAATCGCTTAAGCCCAAGAGTTTGAGCTTGCTGTGAACTGTGACACTACGGCACCTACTGACAGCAACATAGTGAGAGTTTGTCTCAAGAAAAAAAAGAAGAAGAAGAAAGTATCCACACATGTTATATTTATTGTTATACTAACAATGCCTGGATACTTTCTGGACAGTCCTTGTACATAGCAGGCATGAAGTTTTGCCCATTTTGGTGGCTGTTTCCTAAGCTTGTCTGCCTTGGTCTCATCTCTTTCTGCTGTTTAATTCATTTCACCAAGCATTTCACAGAGCATCTTCAAGTTAATTAAGTAGAGAATATTTGCTGAGCACCTACCATGCCAAATGTGCTTTACATACATGATGTTATTATAACCTGAGAGGTGGGTATTACCCTCATTTTAGAGATGAGCAGAGGAAGCTCAGTAGGCCTGCCGAAGTTCCCATAGCTAGGAAGTGGCTGAGCTGGCATTTCCTTAGTAAGTCTGATTCTCAAAGCCCAAGATTTCCCTTTCATATCATTGTGAAAATGTGCTCCATGATCCACCACTTCCAAAACCTCTGGGCTACTCCTTAAAATGCATGCTCCTAGATTCCACCTCAGATCTACTGAATCAGAATCTCAGGCAGTTTGGGATGGAAAACTGATTTTCTAATAAGCCTCTCTGGATGATTTTAAACATTTTTTTTTTTTTTTTTTTTTTTGTCGGGGGCTGGGTCTGAACCCACCACCTTGGGTATATGGGGCCAGCGCCCTACTCCTTTGAGCCACAGGCGCTGCCCAACTTATTTTTTCTTTTAATAGGGGAAACATACAGTAAAATATTCAACTCAAAACATTTATTTTTTATTTATTTATTTATTTTTGAGACGGAGCCTCAAGCTATCCCCCTGGGTAGAGTGCCATGGCTTCACAGCTCACAGCAACCTCCAACTCCTGGGCTCAAGCGAGTCTCCTGCCTCAGCCTCCCAAGTAGCTGGGACTACAGGCGCCCGCCACAGCGCCGGCCATTTTTTGGTTGCAGCCATCATTGTTGTTTGGCGGGCCCAGACTGGGGATTCCAACCCGCCACCTTAGGTGTATGTGGCTGGCGCCTTAGCCTATTGAGCCACAGGCGCCAAGCCAACTCAAAACATTTAGAAGGTATAAGTGAAAAGCAAATATTCCAGGGTGGTGCCCGTCGCTCAAAAGGGTAGGGCGCCCACCCCATATGCCAGAGATGGCAAGTTCAAACCCAGCCCCGGCCAAAAAAAAAAAAAAAAGCAAGCATTCCACCTAATTTGCCCAATTGTGATGTCTCCTGGAGCTCCCCAGGGTCAATTGCTTTTCCCTGGGGTGACTCAGCGCACTGAAGTTTGAGGGCCACCATGGCATGTATGGGATAGACTAAGATGGGCAGGTCTCTGTACTCCAGAGCTTACAGGAAAATTGCACGTAAAACCACCCTTCAAGGACAAGAACTTTAGGAGGGGACCTCAAAGTCACCAACAAAGATGCCAGGAATGCCTGCTCAGTGAGTGTCTGCACCTCCTGTTTCTAGGACCTATCAGTCTGCGTCTTTCCATCTGCCACTTCGTGTAGGAAGCATGTAGATGACCGACACAGGTCATCTTGTCAAAAGCAAAAATCAGGAAGGGATGCATGAGTAAGACGTGAGGAGGCAAAATGAGCCTATAAAGAGGTCTAATCTGGAAGGACTTGGCAGAAGCCCAATATCCAGTTTTTCAACTTGCATTTCTGATTATTTATAGTAACCATCAGCTTTTCGCCTTCTGATAAATTCTTTAAAATCAGTGATGTTTAACCTTTCTGGGGTCACATACTTCTTTGGGAATCCTATGAGAACTAGGGAATTTCTCTCCAGAAAAATGCATAGACTGGTAAACCTCGGCAATTACTGTAGAAGCTTCATGGACCACCAGCGTACCCAGGGATACCAGGAGGTCCAAGTCAAGAACCTGCTTTTAAATATGTTCTCTGTTGTACTAAAACACTTGGTTTACAAAATTTCTTTCTGTCTTTGTTTAGAGAACCTGAACGATGTTGCCATTTGCAGCGAACTGCCCTGGCATGAACCATAGGCCAGCTGGCCCAGGAGGTGGAGGAGGCAGCGGCAGTGGTGGTTTGGAGCCACTGTTCCAGATGGCTGCAAGAAGGACCCACAGACAGGTAGTGGCTGTCCTAGGGGTGGGGACACTTTCCTCGATTCTAGCGCCGCCCATCTGACCCCAGTGCATCTGGCGTTTCAAGGGTTCTGAGTGCTGCACCTGCTCCCTGCCCGCCTTTCCTGGGTTGCAAGGAGCTAACCCATCCCAGTCGGGGTGGGGGTGGGGGACGTGGGCGCAGGGCCCCGTGGGCAGAGCTGCGCCGGGAGCAGGCGGGCTCAGCATTCATCATTGTTCCTCCAGCGCCTGGCACGGGTTGTGGCTCAGGCAGGAATGGAGGCCTGAAGCGCGCCATCGTTTCTGCGTCACGGGTCAACCCAGCTATCAGCCCACAGGTGTTTCCTGGGCTCCTTCATAAGGCCAGACCAAAGCAGGAACTGGGGTCAGAACAGGTCCAGCAGCCGGCCAGAAGGACGATAGCCGGTGGGCGCCGGCGGGCACGGGGCGCACGGGGCAGCGGAGGGACCTGCGCGCGCCACCGCCGCGCGCTCCGCGTGCACGTGACGGCGCCCCCGGCCCCGCCCCTGGAGGGCCCCCCACCCCCACTGCCCGCTCGGCCGCGCTCGGGTCGGCGGGCTCTATGGGGAAAGCGGCCGCTCCGAGCCGAGGCGGGGGCTGTGGCGGCCGCTCCCGCGGGCTCTCGTCGCTGTTCACGGTTGTCCCCTGCTTGTCCTGCCACACGGCGGCGCCGGGCATGAGCACTTCTACGTCCGGCTCCGAACCGGAGCCCAAGCCTCAGCCCCAGCCAGTGCCCGGGCCTGAGCAGGAGCCGCTGTCAGAACAAGTGTCAGAGCCAGGTTTTGAGCCGCCGCCAAGATCCCAGAGGAAAACTGAGCCAGAGGTTGGGCAGCGATTGGACCTGCTACGGACGGAGTCAGAGTTCACTCCAGCTGTAAGGCTTGGGCCCTTCACTAAGGCGACATCAGAACTGTCCCCTGGGCTGGGGAAGGTGCCGTTCGTCACATCTGGGTCAGAGTTACTGCCGGCGTTAAAGCCCCTGCCTCTTCAGCGACCTGGACAGGCAAAGACTTCTAATACGGTTTCAGTAGCAGGGACTAGCATGACCCCCAGTGCCCCAGTGGCCTCACTGCCTCTGGACAGCTTCAAAGGCTGGCTTCTCAAGTGGACCAACTACCTGAAGGGCTACCAGCGCCGCTGGTTCGTGCTCGGCAATGGCCTGCTATCTTACTACAGGTATGGAACCACAGGGTGGGGCATTTGGGGTTGGGGGTGGTGATGCTGCGGTGATGGTGATGGAGCCTAGGAGGTTTGGTAGCATGCACTCCAGCAGGAGAAATAATGCCTCTGACCAACTGCCAAAGGCTGGGGGCCCTAACCTCTGACAAGGGTGGATGTGATCTATGGACATGACCTCTGGCAAGAGTGAATTTAGGAGGGTAAATGAGGAGGTGGAGTAAGGGAGTGATACCTGGCCTCAGTCTCTCTTTGGTCTTGGTAGTTGTGGGTTTGGGGTAGCTAGGTGGAGTTAAACCTCCACAGCCCTTGCCCTCTCTGGCTCAGGAGCCAAGATCACTTGGTGTTAGGGTTTGAGGGAGGTAGTAACCTTGCTCAGTCCTTAGGACCCTCTGGTGGGAAGTGCTGCTTATTCCCTTCCTTGGCTTTGGGCTGAGCACAGCAGACTCACAGATGTATTAGATGCAGCTCTTGCCCTTCAGGAGCCCAACTTGGCATTTTGTGAAGAACCAGGAAGTGTTCTGCTCTCTCCTTTCTTATCCCAGAGGCAGGATGGGATTCAAAATTGCAGTCCAGTGGTGAGAGAGCTAACACTAGCTAGGCAGGACTCATTGAAACCAGCGTACTGGGCCTAGCCTCTGAATTTCTTATCAGTGGGCTTAGGGAGGGGGATTCAGCTTTCCTAACAAGATCCCAGGTGAGGCCCGTGTTGCTGGTCTGGGACCATAGTCTGAGAAGCGCTGCTACATTGTTGCAAACAGGAGGCAAGCAAGACCCTAGCTTCTTATTACTGAAACCAGGGTCACCTTGCTCATTTCACTCAGCTAATAGTATCCCTTAAAATTGCCCACTACAACTTTTATACTATATCCTTCCTAGCCTTTTGGGGACATAGCTTCTAGAATAGAAGATGGTCAAGTCTATCATCCCCCCCAGAGTTTGGGAGCTCTGCCGAAGTTAAGTGATGGCTCTAACTCCAAAATGGAGGATCGCTGGCTGCCTTTAATTCATCACAGGGGAGAAAGATGAGATGCGTTTCTAACATACCCTTCCCATATGGTGTCTTGGTGCCCTGGTGCCCTCTTGCCCACTCAGCTGCACCATACATATGACATAGAACACATTATCCTTTGGAAATCAGGCAAATGATTTTTTTAAGAGACAGAGTCTTACTTTATCACCCTCAGTAGAGTGCTATGGCGTCACAGCTCACAGCAACCTTCAACTCCTGGGCTTAGGCAATTCTCTTGCCTGCGCCTCCCAAGTATCTGGGACTACAGGCGCCCACCACAACTTCCGGTTATTTTTTTGTTGCAGTTTGGCTGTGGCCAGGTTCAAACCCACCACCCTCAGTCTATGGGGCTGGGCCCTACCCATTGAGACATAGATGCTATCCCCAGATGATGTTTTTTAATCTCCCCATACTCTGTCAGTTATGTAAATAATCCATGAAGATGAGATAAAACTAAGTAAAAGGGGAAGAAAGAGAGTGGTGACCAGGCCTGGAGGGAAGGGACCTCTAGTAATTTGCTGTAAGTAAGTGTCACTGTGCTTGAAGGCAAAGCACAAAACACATAGGGCATGTCAACTGTGGACCACACACTCCATTTTACTTACATTCATTAATTTTATCCTCACAATCATGCTGTGAAGTGGGTTCCACTATTGTCCTGTTGTACAGAAGAAGAGTCCTGAGGTCAGCCCAGTAGGCAGTGGAGAAAGATTCCGACCCAGGCCTCTTGGGCTCCAAAGTCTTCACCTGTCCCAGATCTATTCTGATGCTCACTCAGCCTTGCATTTAGGGTTTTAGTATTATTTGCTTATATTTACCAGGTACTACTAAAACTAAAAGTCAAGGTAATGTTTATGACTATAGGGTCCCACTGTCGGAAAATGGCTAGTTCTAGTAGAAGTAAAACCTGACTTCATACCTTTTTGTTTTAATTGGAAGAACAAAGATGTCTGTCTTCTTTTCTTAAAATAACTGTGTGTAGACAGTTGGGACTTCAAGGTAATCTCAAATTTGCAGATTCTCTGGGTAACTACAAAAAGTGCTTACAGCTTACTGATAAGGTTGTGGAGACAAATATTAATTTGGTGGGGAGGAGAGAGTGGGTAACCAGTTTCTTTTGTGTGTGCTGACACAATCCTGTAGTTTTGTTTTTAGACATTTCTAGTTTCCAAGGTGGGTAAAACTGTTGCTTGACTTATCTGGATAGAATGAGTGATTCCTGACACTTATACAGTCCTGTACTCTCATTTACTTCCGTGTGAAGCCAGCCAGGAAAGGGGAACTGAGACTGAATAAATGAGCTTCAGTGGCCTACCTAGAGGCACCCAGCTTGCAGGCTGTGTCCGAATACCACTAGAGATAAGGAAGTCTCTGTCTATAAAAAAGGCCTATTAGAGATGAAGCCAGAATCACTGTTTCAGGTGTTTAATGCCACTCTCCTGTCCCTACTTCTGATCTGAATTCTGCTTTCTAGACCAGGCATGGCCACCCTGCCAGCTAGGGTCAAGGAGCATTCAGACTTGTTGCTCATAATCCTGAAAGTAACAGGGTGAGTTCTTAGGTGCTCCATTTGTGTCCAGCACCATGAGTATGTGTTATGTCCTTTAGCTCTTTCCAGAGATTCTCTGTGTGGGTGTGTCTGGGATAGAGGCAAATTAGGTATTTGTGAACTGAAAGAATTTTGTATTTGTGATCTTGGAGCCAGTAGAGTCATACTTGCTTGCTGTGGCAGTGTGGTTAGTAGGGAAGGAATCAAAGTCATTTCTCTTGCTAGCTTCCCTTTTGGAAAAACTACCCTCAAATTAAAATTTTTTAACTAAATGAACCCTGGCATTTGTATAAAACATAGGCACATATTTCTTGTGACCTGACACTCCATCCCATCTTCTGGCCTTCTCTCCAGGCCAGCTCTGGTCACCACCTGCTTTCTTCCCCTTTTACTTAGTTTTATCTCATCTTCATGCAATTCTTTGGTTTTCTAAGGGTCTTGCTCTGTTGTCCAAGCCACAGTGCAGTTGTGTGATCATAGCTCATAGCAACCTTAAACTCCTTGGCTCAAGCCATCCTCCTGCCTCAGCCTCCTGAGTGGTTGGGACGACAGATGCATGCTGCCACACTGAGCTAATTAAAATAATTTTTTTAAACAATTGGGTCTTGCTGTGTTGCCCAGGCTCATATCAAATTCTTGGTCCCAAGTGTTACTTTTGTCTTAGCCTCCCACAGTGATGGGGTTACACATGTGAGCCCCCATGCCCAGCCTACATGCTTTTTTGTGGAGACAGAGTCTCACTATGTCACCCTAAGTAGAGTGTCGTGCTGTCATAGCTCACAGCAACCTCAAACTCTTGGGCTTAAGCGATTCTCTTGCCTTAGCCTTCCAAGTAGCTACGACTGCAGGCGCCCGCCACAATATCCAGCTATATTTTTTGTAGTTGTCATTGTTGTTTAGCAGGCCTGGGCTGGGTTCGAACCTGCCAGCCTCAGTGTATGTGTCTGGTGCCATAACCACTGTACTATGGGGGCTGAGCCCCTACATGCAATTTTTAAAAGCCCATATTTTTTATTGCAATCAGTTTTAACCTTATAAAAGAGAGAAAGTATATGAGTTTAGGGGACTTACTTTGCTGTATAAAGTCCAAGGAATGTGTGTAGGTAGCACTTCTTATTTATGCATTTTCCTTTGGATGGGTTACTATGAAAATTCTTGTACACGTGCAGGAGTTTCTTCTGGGTAAAATCACTGGATTATAGAGAATTTGTGAATGTTTACCTTACATAATGCCAAAGTGTTTCCCAAAGCAACTGTACTAATTTCTGCTCCCACTAGCAATGAATAAGAGATTCTGTGGATCTATATCCTTGGCAGCAGTTGGTATTATCAGCACTGATTTTTGCCAATCACACATGCTATGGGATCTCCTAGTAGCCTTGACCTGCATTTCAATTCCCATTATTTTTACCTTATTAGAAAAATGGTGGGGATTTGGGTTAAAATTTCTCCTTCAAATGTGTTTTCCTCAGGTACTTAAGCCCTGGATTTTGCTTGAGAAGCTCATTTGGTTGCTTAAGCTTATGCTAAGGGAGAAAGCACATCGTGCCAACATTCATATTATCGAGAACATTAAGCCAAGCATGGTGGCTCGCACCTGTAATCCTAGCACTTTGGGAGGCCGAGACAGATGGATCACCTGAGCTCAGGAGTTTGAGACCAGCTTCAGCAAGAACGAGACCCCCATCTCTAAATCCTAGCCAGGCATTGTGACAGGGGTACCTGTAGTCCCAGCTACTTGGGAGGCTGTGGCAAGAGGATTGATTGAGCTCAAGAGTTTGCGAGATTGCTGTGAGCTATGATGCGACAGCATTCCACTGAGGGCAACAAAGTAAGACTGTCTTTAAAAAAAAAGGAATCCTTAAAAATTCTTTCTTTCGGCTTGGTGCCTCTGGCTCAAGTGGCTAAGGTGCCAGCCACATACACATAAGGCGGCAGGTTTGAATCCAGCCCGGGCCCGCCAAATAATAATGACGGCTGCAACCAAAAAATAGCCAGACGTTGTGGCAGGCACCTGTGGCCCCCGCTACTTGGGAGGCTGAGGCAGGAGATGCTCTTGAGCCCAGGAGTTGGAGGTTGCTGTGAGTTGTGATGCCACATCACTCTACCCAGGGGGACAGCTTGAGGCTCTGTCTCAAAAAAAAAAAAATTTCTTTCTTTCTTTCTTTGTTTTCTTGACAGGGTCTCCTTTTCTTTTTCTTTTTTTTTGAAACAGTCTCAAGCTGTCGCTCTGGAGAGAGTGTCATGGCATGATAGCTCACAGTAACCTCCAACTCTTGGACTCAAGTGAGCCTCTTGCCTCAGTTTTTCTATTTTTCAGCCTTTTGCTCAAGCTCGTCTTGAACTCATAAGCTCAAGCAATCCACCTGCCTCAGCCTCCCAGAGTGCTAGGATTATAGGTGTGAGCCACCAGACCTGGCTGGTCTCCTTCTATTGCTG